GCGTCACCGCGCTTGGCGCAAAACCCGCCGGTTTCAGGTGCAGCTTTCACATTCTCGCACAGTCCCGACACCGACGAGAAGACATTGCCCTACAGGTGCGATGCTCGTCCACTTTCAACCGACCCGACTCACGCGACGACATAGCGCGCAAATTTTTCGTCCGTTCCTTGGTTATTTTAGTGAACTTTTATATGTTCGGTTTCACCAGCTTTCCACGCGGAGCATGCACCATCCGTTAAGTTTTTAATGATTCTTAAACGCAATTTGTTTCGTCAAATAACAAGATCATTAATCATCTTAAGTCGTTAACCGTATTTTTAAAACATTTTTAAAGTTCATTTTTAGATTGATAAAAAAGAAAGAAAAGATTGCTAATTTAATATTATTCCATTCTGAGGATAAAAATCAACGTATAACTGAAAAAAAATTAACTATTTTTAACATTTTTATTTGCCAATATCATAAGAAATATCAAATTGTTCAAAAACAAGTTTATATCATTATTAAGCATCCATGTTCTTATCGAGATATCGATTTGAGAGTTCAAAGGTTAATACGAAAATTGTAATAGTAGTATCGATGTGGTACTAACTCAGACTGAATTTTATCTACTCGTATGTGTGTGTGTGTTCTCGGATATGCGATGTGAGCAGATAGAACGTGCGAAACGCGGTACACAACGCGGAACGCGCATCGCGGCGCGACGGCACAATCGCAGCAATTAATCTCCACCCAACCACATAATTTCCTGAAGTTACGATTCCCAGGCGAATTAATTACCGCCGCCGCGCGGTAATAAGGTAATCGCCGCGCGCGCTGACAAAAATATACGGACAACGCAGAAGGGCGTTGGTCATCCTCACGGATGACTCGCGGACGGTCGCGTCGCATTCTCGCGCAAATGCAGCAATGCGTCGCAGGTGCATCGGGTACAGAAGCCGCCGCGTGCTTTTCTCCGTTGCATCACCGCGGCCGACCACGACTATCGTCGTCGCGCGATGTATAAAAACATAATTTACGACGATGGCGATGCAACGAGGGACAACACGGAGCAAAGAGTATACCGCATTGACTCTTACTTTCTTTCTCTCTTTTTCTTTCTTCAAAATTCTCAACTTGCCAGTCAAAATAATAAGGATGCCACCTGCGTGAAGTTAGCACCCCATTTCTGAAATTTTAAAATTCTAAAGGTTGTTCCAGGTTGTTCTACACTTGTTCTAAATTGTTCCAAAACATCAAATTTATATTATAAAAATTTTCGCGGAAAATTAAAAAATACAATTTTTTGACCTGGCACCCCATTTTTCAAAAATCGAACTTTTCAAGGTTGTTCCATGTTGTTCTAGTTGTTCTAAACATTGTTCCAAAGTATTAGTTTGATTGGTTAAAAACTTTAAAAGATATTGAAAAAACAAGAATTTAAGAAAAAAACATTTTTGGCCATTTTCTCATAAACAAAAAAACTTACATAATTGTCGGTTT